CCTCCTTAAATCCGACAGCTCGGACACAGCTACACCCTCACCCGTTTACGAGGTTGTTCGGTTGAGTGCGGGTACCGGTCGCTTTCGCTCCACGAGAGGCCGTGCGTGCTTGCCCGACCCCAGGCGGGTTTTCCCCTGTCTCGAGCTCTATGTGTTTAATTGCGTTTTCGTCAGGGGTACTCATTATCAGTTTATCTCGATTAGCCTATAGCGGACCGTTGTACGCGGGCCCTTAACGCGCGGTGAGGAGGGGATTTAGTGATGCGGAAAGGGAAAGTGGTGGTGGTGGTGGTGGTGGTGGTGGTGGTTCTGCGGGGGGGGAGGGGGGTGGTTAGTTCTTCGATGGCTTGGTCGGTTTGGGCTCGGGCTTTGCGGAGGCGTTCTCGACGGCGGTTGAGGGCGTTTGCCGAGGCGGGCGAGGTGAGAGAGGCGGAGGATGCGGTGGGGGGGCAGGTCGGTGTTGGCTAGCCAGGTAGATAGCCCGCGGGAGCGCCTGGTGCGCTTGTAGGGGATCTGGGGTGGTGGACGGTTAGGGTTGTGGGTTTCAAGATAGAGAAGGCTCATCTTGCTTGTGACTCCCTGGATTGGTTTGTTTGCTTTGCTACGTTACTGGGATGGCTTCGTCTTGTTGGTGCCTTAGATACCACTAACCGGCAGGTTCGAAGTTGTGTGTTTCAGTACTTTGTTGATTAAGTCCACTCTGCCCATGTCAAACTCACTCTAGACTTTGGTATATCATGGAGCGGACCAAAGGCGATCATGCGCGGGGCTGATGGTGGCCTTTTTGATATTACCTGGAAAAGCCACGGACTCTTTGTTGCGTTAAAGACAAACGCATTCTTGATCCCCCCTAACATTATTCCATCTATCATGGGACCTGTCCCCCTTTGTTGCTTTGTTCGCAGCCAGCCGCCTTTCTGTTCGCACTTTCTTTGTCAGGAACAATGGGTTGTGCTCCGGGTTGCTGGCCACGCCTGCCTGTCGCGCGTGGATCCTTCAGCAACTTTTGACCATGATGTCTAATGGTGTAGAGAAACTTCTGATGACAAGATCTATCCTAAGGTGGTTGGGCAGATAGTTATTGCCAAAACACAACACTGTCACGAATGGAACCCTCTGTAAAACAGGGACAAGCAGCATACCTCCCTACCCACCTAGGCACTGCACTGCATTCAGTTGCCCGGGGTTTGTCAAACTCAACACTCAGTTTGCCTCATTATGGCGAGCAATACCCAAGAGGACACGGATGCCAACACGATAGGCAATACTGCGGAAAACAACAATAATGGCGGTGCTTTCGCCTTCTTACTACGAAACTCCCTTTCGTTATCGATGTCAGAGTCCACTCCCGGCCTCAGACGGTTCTCCCGTTCCCTGTCATCCAGCGCCGCGTCCCGGGGTTCGATTGCCTCATCCTCCAGCAACACAACCTTCAAATCGTCCTCAAGCAAGAAATCAGAGCCTACGCTTTCAGAGCTGGACGCTATCTGGGAAGCGAACGAGGCCACCCGGGCTTCCATCTGGGAAGCCGACGAGGTGATCCGGGCATTTGTCAACGAACACTGGGCCCACCATGCCAACGACATCACGATCGACTGCCAGCTGACGCTTCCATCTCTGCATGCCATCGGCCAGCTTTCTCGCTCCGAGGGCTTACGCGCATGCCGGCGCCTCATCCAAGTCCCGGTCATCCACGAGGAGGTAGCCCTCTCACTGTGGGAACACCTCGCCGAGGAGGCAGGCAAGGACGCCACCACGGAGCTCGCACAACCACCACCACCAACATCACCCCCCAGTTCCGAAACCACCCACACCACCAGCAGCTCCACCCCAGACACCACCAGCCCCAGTCCCTCGGGAAAACGACCCGGGCGACGCACCCTCACAACCGCCACCAAATGGCTGCGCTCCCAGCGACACAACTCCACCACCACCACCACCACCACCACCACCACAACCATAACAAACCAGCCGCCACCCCCACCACCACCACCACCACAACCACCCTGTCCCTTCTGCCCCGGCGATTGCATCCCCCCCAGCTGCAGGGCACTTCTCCACGACGGCCACCACAACCACCCCCAAAACAGCGACCACCCCACACCAGCCGACTTCTGGCATTCCCCCGACCCGACGCCCCCGCCACGCGCATACTCGCGCTCGCACAGCCTCTCGGGCGATATCAGGTCAGAGATACGATATGACCCCACTAGGGACATGAGAATGAGCGTGGGCACGCACATGGGCATGGACATGGGTACGGGTACGGGTACGGGTGCTAGCGAGAGCGAGGGGGGTGGGATGGAAGAAGGTGGCGGAGGGGAGGAGAGGAGTTCACGGCGTGGCTGTTGTGCGTGGTTGTCGTTGGCGGCGGGTTGTGTTGG